AATCAAAATCAGGTAGAAGCTCAGGGAGAGATCCAAGAGATGAAAAGTCTTAGAACATAGGATGTCGTTGGCTCCAGTGACAACACATAATCAAATAACTGAGATGTCTAATATCACAGTTTCTGCTAATGAATAGCACCTGCTTGAATTCAGCATGAAAATTTACTGAACAAACTGCTTCGATATCAGTTTCTCTTCAATACAGAGGGACAGAAACACTTATTGGAGGCAGCCTCGATATGGATAAAATGCTGAATGTGGGTACTGTCCTAAGCAATTTTTCTGTAGAATATTTGTCGCTGCAAAGTGTCACTTGTTACTCAGCTTGGGCATGGGGTTCTGATGACTAGTTTACAGTAATTCGAAATGGTCTGCTTTTAAAACCCATAAAGTAATTCTTTCAAATTTATCACTGATCCAACCTCACAATGCATTAAACGCATTCCCACAACACTGCTTCCCTGAGGTTTTGGGTCCCAAAGCTACGATATGATTGTGATCGAGAGACATTATAGTGGACGGCTCCAGAAATTTCTACCCCTTTGGGGTTTTCGAACATGCACCCAAATCTACACGCGTGGGATTTTAGCATTTCCGTGCATCGAAATGTGGCTGCCACTGCCAGGATTTGATCCCACGATCTTCTACTGAGAGGCCGAATTCAGACCAAGAATAGCCAAGTTTTTTTTTTTTTTAATTTTTGTCCCCTATTGGCGATCCCTCTTCTGTGCAACAACCACAGGTCGGCGAACTCACTGATGAGTCGACTAACTCAAACTCACTCAGACTCGGATTGAGCCGTGAATATGAGTCTGAGCAAGTCCGGGTGAGGAATGTTTTGGTGAGTATGAGTCCGGGTGAGTCCGCCTCGGGAAAATTTTGGCGAGTCTGAGTCCAAGTGAGTCCAAAGCTCAAAATGTATTTCATGAGTGAGTCTGAGTGAGCGCCACAAGTTTAACTGACCTATGACAACATCACACTCACACCTGGTTTTGTTGCCCAATGGTATGTGTCCTTCAATCTAAGAAAACATGCCAAGACACCTAGAGAAAGCGCGTTCATCTATGTTAGTGGTAAAAAAATTATAAAATATCACTGAAAAGCCTAACTCGTTCTGGGTCGTTTTTACCAGAAATACATAAACAAGCCCAGCTCATTCATAGCATAAAAGGAGTTACTTATTTATGCAATTCAGTGTTAAGTTTCAATTCTGCAGACTGCACAACAATACTTTGTTGTTGCCATCATGTTCATAAGAAGCCCCTTTGTTTAATTACCATTACTGTTATACCCTTGATAACTGTGAGCAGTTGTTTTATTCTTTAGAAACTTTTTAGCTATATGGATGTCTGATAGCGAACATTTTACATGCACCTGCTAACCAAATAAGCCTAATAGCGTTATCACTTTTTGCCAAAACAGAACTCGATGTAGTAATAATTGCTGGGGTTTTAAGTGCAAAAACCATGACATAACTATGACACATGCCGTAATGGAAGGCTCCAGAAATTTCAACCCGACGGGGTTCTTTAACCTGCACCCAAATCCAAGTACATGGGCCTATGGCATTTCTGCCTTCATGTAAAATGCAACCACTGCGGCTTTCGAACCAGCAGCCGAGCACAATAACCACTGCCACGAATGGCATCTAGGACACTCCACTCAACGTCACACTTGAGAAATGAGAAAATGACATTCACAATACGAGTTCATTATAACAATTTCACTGCCCAAGCACCCCCAACAATTAAGGTTCCTAGGTTTTCAATGTGAATATGGCCTTAAGTCCTTGATTAAAATAAATTTATTATTTATCACTTATTTATTGAACTTGCTGCAATAGCTTTTCTGGCATGTTATGCCTGCCTGTCACGATAGCTGAGCAAGTTACTTTGTAGGACCTCACATGTGACCAAGCTTGTGATGTGTGAGAGGATGTATGCATCAATCGGGGTGAGTGCCGAGATTTCAGTAAACATGGATGCCATTTATAAGAGCATGAAAGAGTAGTCATGAAAGTGATCTTGAGGCGATATTCAAGCGAATCGCACTAAAGCACGAGCGGCTAGTGATAAGCGTTGATGAGTGAAGGTGTTTTGAGCATGCCAAATACATTTACAAAAATACTAGCGAGTGAGCACACATTCATTGAACTGATCTATGATATTTGATGATTCCCTTACGAGTGAGCATACGAAGGCTCTCTGCAACCGCTTGTATATGAGGCCATTCTGCAACACCAAAATTGTTGCTCCTGCATTTGGCCGAATTCGAAAAAGATGTTTGGGTGAGATAGAAGCTATTGAAACTACAATTAAATATTCCTATCCTGTACTCCTGTATTTTGACATGCACGAATACACATGATGTATATATCTAACACAACTCTCAACCACTGCAATTACATAATGCTACAATTGCATCATCAGAAACATTTAAATTAAAACATAGTTTATTTTTGTCTTTCATTAGTGAGGGCACATTCAGAAAAAAACAATGTATACATTTGTGAATATACTCATTCGACACATTAAATATTCTGGAACGTGGCCCTCAGAGCAGACGATAGTTTAGACCACCTGGCTGCCAGAAAGAGCAAAATGTGCATTATGGGCCCCTGCTGTAAAACAAAAAAAGAGTAACTCATCGTCTGTTTCTTGATGCTCATGGGCCCCTATGTCAGCTCCAATGATTTTTTTCTTAAATTTCAAGTAAACAGACTCGAGTACAGAAGGCTGTCCTGATAAACAATAGAAAACAGGGCAGCGCTATGAGTACTAGATACCCTTAAAATTCCCACAAACAACCCTTCTCCTCTCCTTGCCTTTTGGAAATCCTCAACCACTCGGCATTTGATGTGACTGAAATCAACACTCTAATCTGCTCATTATCCTTCAAATGTTTGTCTGCTTGTATGTGCACACACTCATTGTTTTTCCTTCTCGCACGGTGAGAAGGAACAATCGACCAGGAGGAGTGACAAGGTGACAAATGAAGCAGAGTGAAGGAAATAATGAAACAAGGCCAGGGCTTCTTTCGAATTATCAAACACGTTTCACTCCAATTCTATGGCACCATTTGAAAAAATGATCCCACCTACATGTTTATTGTCTTACAGAATGGTCATAGCCCCACTAGGTTTTGACCTCTGGTTGGTTTATGGTGCATTCAGATGACTGACCGAATCCAGATTCGTCGTGGATGCAGACGGCTAATCCACGGATGATCCACCTGCAGGCGCATCCACACGACGGACGGTGTCCTAGGAGAAAACAGCCGGATTACCCTTGACGGCTGATTCGGCGCCCACCTGAGCCCGCTGGCAGCAGACCGGTTTGAGAGTATTCAACAACATGGATGCCGACAGGAAGCGACGCTTGGCTACGATGGCTATCAGCTTGGGCGAAATGGAAGAAGAGTGTTATTCTTCCAGTAGAAAACGGAGTTGTTGGCAGAATGTTCAGAATGTTCTTGTTCGCCCACGTGTGGAACTTCTGAACGCGTCTCCCGCCCTTTTTTATAAGTGACACATCGCTGGTCACAGAAGTTAAACTACTTCACCACTATGGCAGCTAAGAGTCTCGCGTGTCAAACGACGACGGCGACATTTCCCGAACCACCAAAACTGATTTCTGCGCATTTGATCACCTGAGAACAAAGCCCCCAGAAACTAAGTAAACCATGCTCAAGCTTAGATGATGCCGACATGTCATGCGGCTGTCCCCTAGCCATGAAGAAAATGCCACGAGCAGAGGAAAAGTGTACTGGTTGCCAGCAACCCTGAGCTAATCTGCTGAAGTATCGGCTTTCTCCCGCCAGAATCCCGATGTGAGAAACAGGTTGGGGTCATCTGTTCGTAAGCCACGCAGATGAGGGGAATCGCGTGACGCGCCATTCATCCTGCCACATCCGGATTCGGTCCGTCATCTGAATGCACCATTAGGGCATAGAGTTACCTAAATATACACTAGAGGGAACTCTGGCGCTAGTGTCTGTGGGAGCTGCAACATACGGCGCTTCAGCGATGATGATGATGGATATGTGTGGTTTAACGTCCCAAAAGCACCATATGATTATGAGAGACGCCGTAGTGGAGGGTTCCAGAAATTTCGACCATTTGGTGTTCTTTAGCGTGCACCCAAATCTGAGCACAGCGCTTCAGCGAACATGGGAATGATGGGTAGTACACGGATTTGTCTAATCTTCATACTTCTGGCTTCGTGTGTGTTCGTGTAGCTTGAAGCCGTTTTCTCATAGAAATGTTCAGTGGTTACTCTTCACAACAGGAAATGCTCAGCGGTTACCCTTCACAACCTTATTCTTTTGGGCTTACCAATTCAAATCGGGTCACAAAGTTCAAAACGAAACAACACCAAAACACAGCAATAAACGAAGTCAAAAATGCGATTCACTGCCCGTAAGTACGAAGACTAGAAAATCTGTGTACTACCCATCATTGCCATGGTCGCTGAACGATCGCAGCACCAGAGTCTTCTCTAGTTAGTTTTAGAAAACTATGGTTTAGGGGCCTTTTAAAAGTAGAAAAAGGGATTTGCTAATATCTTCAAAACTATTAAGTCCTGTCCAATATGCAACCAATGCTTGGTAGACGAGTATTGCATTTCTCTGTAGTGAAATGTAGTTACCACAGCCAAAGAGTAAAGCCCGTTGCCTCATGCTCTGTGTAAAGCCCCATAGCCATTGAGTCAATTTAGTGAAAAACACAACTTGTTGACTATACTCTGTTCCAGAAGTTCCGTGCAGCAGAGCCAAGGCTACACGATCCTCGAACGCAGGTTGTTGCGAATCGAGATGTAGTGTCCCGTATACATAGCCTGTTGTTTGTTCTCGTGACTTTTGCGAGCAGTGTCGTCGGAAAATTTTTACTTGAAGGCTTCTCTGCATGTTGTAGCTGTGATTTGTATGACGATTTTATAGAATTTTCTGTAGAAAATGGCTCTATGATAATGAAGAAAGAGTTCTTGCTTGTACATATTATACTTATAAAGTACGCAGGAATGGTACCACACTGTCTAAACTTTTATGAGTAGTCCGCACAGCCCGAGCGTCCACAGCCCTGTGAGGAACCCAGTCTTGGGTTGTGACTAGTCCGCGGTGGCAGATTCGGTTACTCCTGTCAAAATAGAGGCGCCTGGTTCGCCTGTGCGGTATCGTTCCCGGATCAGCTTTTACGACAAGGGAGCGAAGCAGTTGGCTCTAAATGTGTTTGGGACACTGCGTAAGGAGGGCGGCATAAATGCAAGCATGAGCTCTCTTATTAAGCGAACGGCTGCGTTCACCAACGTCAGCGAGCCTGCGCTGTACAAGTGGGTAGTGGAGCACAATAAGCACGGCGAGGCACCGGGAATAGAACCATCATTTCGTATCGAACGGGAGCGGCACTTCGCTATGGGCATGCATACATGAAATCTGACGAAGGGTAATGCTTTCATAATGAATTTGGCTAGTGCGGCGCTTTCCACCGAAACATGAGCCACTGAACCCTATCCCTCAAATGTCTACGTGCAAGTATCTCGAAGACGCGGACTTTTACGGTGCCGAGGAGAATATTTAACCACTTTCACAATTACAGCTCATCTCACTGTGCAGTTGCACAGTGTCCCGAGACGCTCTTGCCGCTTTTGCTGCAGCGCACATCGCTAGCAGATGACAGAGCTCGGAAGGATACACTTAGATGTGCTCGCCCTCCTTATTGGTTGAGAAAGCCTGTAGCTTCCACAATGCTGTACGGAACTTCTGGAAAAGAGTTTAGTCACTGTGACAGTGATTCAACAAGCAATCAGTTGCATTGTAGCCCCGTCAATGCATGAAGAGCAGTTAGACATTTAGTACCACGAGAAGTGCGCATCACTTGGCCACAAGAAAGTATCAAGCCAACAGACAGACCCCCGTCTTGTTTAGCCCTGCAGGAGATCCAGCATAGTACTCTGCGATTCCTATACTTGTATTTGCTGCCAAAAAGGACCTAAACCCAAACAGTGGTTCGAGCAGAAACGGAGAGTACACATCGAGCTACAGATGCTGATAGTTTGCATCGGTAACATTTTATGCGTCACAAGAGTGGGATGTCTACTATACCAGTGACATCGCTCTTTTCCATGTCGATATTGTGATGTCATGCCTGCTATTTCTGTTTCGTATAATGTGACGTGCCAATTTGTCTCACCCACATCTTGTTCGAACACTGTCAGAGGAATTTCAGTGTGTCTGTATACCTTGCTATCGCTATGAACTAGCCCTTCAGTTAAAGCTACTGAATTCAACTTGTCATATTTATACTGCATTCGCAGATACAGCTACACAGTGTTTCAAGGTAACAGACATATCTGGCATGACAGTCACATTCATAATAAACGTGGCTTAAAGCAAAAAATGGGCGATAATAATGAGTGGTAAGAAAACCTTTGCATTCAAAGGAATAAATTTTTGGCAACAATAACTGTGCTGACAAAAATTTTCTTATTTGAGGCTTAATCTTTCAATTAACACTTTAATATGGAACAAACAGGGAGTGGACAATAACAAGGTGTGTGTAACAATGTATTGCCAAATTCTGGACAAAAATTTGACACTGATGAAATTATGCTCAGCATCACATCACACATGGGATGCTTGCTGCAGCTTCTTTTTGTTGATAGTATTAAATTTATTAATTAATATTTAAATATGCATGACTATAAGACTCAGTTTATCCTTAACATGAATCAGCAGCACAATAAAAGAAGGCATGCATTTTATGCAATAACAAGATGTTTGAACTGTAAAAAAAGTAGAAAATTGATCTAAATGTTCCAACATTATCTTTTAATGCTTTGGTGAGTATATAACTATTCTCTGAACACAAATTGACATATCTATAAACCTCTGGCATGAAATTCGTAACAATCCATCATGAAATGAGGGATGGAGCATGATTGTGGTGTGTTCTGGCTCTCACATGCCTTGCGAGCGGCCAAGATAGTGGTATTATTTAGAGCAGCAAGCACTGTACACGCATCTATACTATCTAAATTGTAATGAGTCCTAACTAAAAAAAACAAAAGTGCGCTACGTGTAAGCACTACTCAAAGCCACTGCGCCGACGAGGCGGCCGACAAGTCCATCAACTTCCAGGCAGCCTTGGGATCGAGCTCGTTCTGATCTCGGCAGAGCACCCAGACATGATGTATGCGCAAAATTTTCTCCGGGTCACCTTCGACAACTTCACCTTTGCTGTTGCGTACCACGTTGATCTGCTGTGACTGAAAAGTGACAATGAGTACGGGCCCTTGCTCCATGATCTTGCCCATGGCTAGATCGACGTTCATCACATCAAGCACTTTGGAGTCGTAGCGGTATCCCAGTTGGATGGCCTGCTTTATGGGCGTGCTGATCACGTTGAACGGCGCGTCGTGGCACCAGTCGCGCAGAATCTCGAGGTCGCCGCGAACCATGGCCTCGAGCAGGTTGGGGATAATGTCTGTCTCGCACATGCGCAGGAACTCATTCTTGTCGAAGCTAGGGTCGATTTTGCAGATCTCGGTAAGCACCTCCGAGAGCTCGGTTTTCTGGAAGAGGCCGCCGAAGATGTCGGTAACCTTGTCCGTGAGCGAGCGCGAGGCGCGAACCAGAGGATTGTCGCTTTCGTCGTAGCGCGTCTTCAAGTCGAAGAACTTGTGCACGTACGGGTTGTTGTCGCGGAAGTTCTGCCAGCTCTGGTACCAGCGCGAGTCGCGGTGAAGTTCCACACCTGTCGCTTCCTCGTTGGGCGCCACGACTCGGGCGTCTGCCTGACCCGAGCCGAGCTCGGAGCGCTTACGCAGCGCCTTGGGAGCCCTGTAGACGCGAGCACCGGCCGCCGCCGCTTCGTCGATCTCCGTCTTGACGGCTTTGATGCCCGACGACACCGCCTGGAAGGCGCCCGACTTGCCGAGCTGATCACCCTGCTTCGCTAACGTTTCGGCCGCCGTCTTGGCAGACCTGGCGAGCTCTTCGGTCAGCTCGCGGCTCTTCTTGCCGATCTCACTCTTCTGGGCCTCCTCGATGCCTTCCTTAATCTTTTCCTTGAGCGACTCGAGCTGCTCCATGATCTGCTGCGAGCCTTTCGCCGTCTCCGCTTCGATGTTCTCGTACTTCATCCTGGCTTTCCGCAAAGCCTCCGACTGCTCAAGTTTCGCGGCTTCCTCGCGAAACTTCTTTAGGCTTTCCTTCATTTCCTTGTTTTGCACCATCTCTTGCTTTATGTTCTCGAACACCTGTCCGAAGAAACCTTTGCGCTGCGACGGCGAGCTGTAGCACCTGGCGCCGAAAGAACTACGAAATAGGGAAGTATTTACATTGCCGTTCCTGAGCAAGTGGACGGAGCAGATGTGCCGCAAGGCTGAATTCAACAAAATTAAACCACACGACGACCGGGGAAAACGCACTGCACGAGAAACACCGAGCCATGCTTGCGGCACGGCGAACGCCATTTTCACCCTTGGCGTGATTCCCAACGTTGCTGGTCGAAACGAAAGAAAGCACCTGTTTTGGCTGAACAAAGTCTTTTTCGGTTTCGTTTTTTATTCAGTGTGGTGTTCTTTCCAACCGCAATGTCCAGTAACAGCCTTATCGTAAATGTGAAAGAAAGCACGAATGTTATTTGTAGGTAAACCCTACTGCGAGGATCTCGGTTATTTGATATCGTCTGAAACACTCGGGCGTGTTTTACTATCATCCCTGTCACACCAGTAATTTCAAGCTTGTTTGATGTATTCAACATTACTTACTGCGTGTAGTACCATACATTTAATTTATGAAGGCTAGAAAATTTTTTGGTAACCTTTCGCAGGTTTTCTTTTTTTCTCTTTGGAGGTATTGAGCAGTTCACAAAGAAAAAAAAAATTGTAGCCTCTGAGATTGGCAAAAAATGAGAACAAGAAAAGGTAATAAATAAATTTGCATACACAAATCTTTGAAAATTTAATACCAATGATGTAGAAAACATTACAACATGGAGTAGTAATGTATTTCAAAATGAAAATTTAGACACACGCGTAGAGTTTTATAAATTATTACCATGAAACTCTATGGACGCACGTCATACGCAAGAACATAGCCTTTAAGATTAAAGCTAAGCCCAAGTTTGGATACCATTGCCAAAATCACAAGTCCACACCTTAAATTCATTTTCATTTTATAAATGTAAGACAATCTCAAAACAACAAATATGATACAAGTGTTAAAAACCTAAATGTTAACTTTGTTTCGAAGCCCGCCGAAGAGAAAATAAAGGGCCTTCGAGACCTAAAAAGGCCGGCATGAGGTGGGTTCATTCAGATCAAACTAACTAACTTATGTTCACTTTGAATGTCAAAAAGCAAAGAGTAAAGAAGTGCTCTCAAAGCATATTTTAAATATTGTTAGAAGTCACGTGAATAGACTCAGCGTAAGATGTTTACGCGGGTGTTTTGAAAACAAATAGCGCTAGAAATACTGGGAGCACGCTCCGTGGGCGAATCGGCAGAAAAGAAAAGAAGTAGGTAATTTATTGTTTGTACAATAATATAAAGATTGAAAGTAACAGAAACATCTGTGCATGCGTTTCTCTAACAGCGTCGTGTGGTGGGGGACGCTCAGTTGTCTGTTATTACGCTATTTGTGTGATCGCACATGAGTGCGTCTTGGTTATAATAAAAGAGTACTGACGTACAACCTAGAAAGCGAGATAAGGCACATTTAGAATGGGAATAAGAAATGATTTTATCATGACTTGAGGAGCGTTACAAATTAGTATACAGAAGGAGGTACCATAGTCAAAGACTGAATCCAGACCTCCTACAGTAATGAATACAGTAAACATGACATACATTAGCAAATCGCAGTACAAAAATAAGCAAAAAATACAACGCAAGCTGGAAAAAGGACAGCTAAAGAAAAATATCAGGTGAAAGTGGGGAAAAAAAGAAGGCAAAAGCCAAAAGCAGACTACATACAAAATAAGAATATTTAAATGCTCATAATTATAGAAAAAATTACACAATCAAACAACACAAGAAATAAAAGTAATGCAGTACTTCTAAAATTTTGAAAATTCCAAAATAAAACTAGAAAAAACGGTAAAGGTAATTAAACACTTCTATACAGCTTTCAGAAGAATGCTGTGAAAAAAAGCATTAAATATACACAATGAAGCGAAGACAAATGTCACATCTATTTAAGCAATGGATCATGATGATGCGATGCTTTTACTTTTGATGTGAAATGATATGAATAGGAAGGATAGTAGCAGAAGTGACAAAAACTACCCAGGTGATGAAAGTAATGAGGGGAAGGTCTTCAGTTCTTTTTTCAATTTGCCAATCGATTGCGATGTTTTGATCGCCGGAGGTATAGTACTCCATAAATGGATTGCATCGAAGTAAATTGTTTGCTTGCCATAGTTATTGGGAACCTTTGGTAAAATTAAATTCCGAATATGTGCAAACCTTGTCAAGTTACTATTCACTAGATTGGATGGAGGGCTAATGAACACAGGAAGCTGGTTTTTGATTTGCTTGTATAACAATATTCCTAGTTTGAATTTGACGGTGCCACAGACCGTTAGGATGTTGCTGACATGTAGGGGTGCTATAGCATCACTGCGATAGTGACTATGGGTATAAGTATTCTAATAGATTGATTTTGCATAGTCTGGAGAGAAACAAGATGACTACCTCAAGCACTGCCGCAAGATGTGATACCGTAATTAAAGTGAGAAAGAATAAAAGCGTAGTACAGTGAAGGTAATGTAGGTTGGGAAATTATATCACGGGCTTTAAGCTGAACACGTATGCCGTAAGCCCTTTTTCTTCGTAGGAGAGCAATATGCGAATGAAGTTTCAAGTTGTGGTCAAGTTGGATTCCCAAGAAAGCAGCCTCCTTATCTGCTTCAATTGCGAATTGATTTATAAGCATTGGCGGGATACGGTTATGTTCACGTTGGTGAGAGTGAAAAACAACGAATTTAGTTTTGGTTGGATTGATGTGTAAGTTAATAATAATAACTCTAGTTATCGAAATCAAATAGTTATAAAAAGTCTCTGTTCAATTTGGCCTGGCTAATTATAATTGCAGTGCAAGTGTTTCATTGAGAGTGCGCTCCCTATACCCCACAACTATCTTTTCGCAGAAAGGAAACGCTCACTTTGTTAATTTACAAAATCTATTACCACAGTTCATTCCTAGGCTTCTTTGGATCCACCCGGCAGTTTACTATTCAGCTCGCCATGACAATGTGCACAATGTCAGCGTACATCTTCACAACACTACAGCATATTCAGAATCAGTATTTGCTAAGACATCACTCGATTAGAATAATATACCTGCATCATTGGTACAGTTACTTTACATGCTGCATTTAGGTAGCAGATACAGCAACTCTAATTACTGCTATAGCCACCGTCACCGACCGCACTCATTAAAAGAATGCACTAACAAAATTGAAATCGTGAACTGTTTCAGCGGGTACGTGTTCATTGGTGTTGATTGACTGTTTAGTTCACCTTTTGCGTATGAACTCACATTTTCTAATAATAAAGTGTACTTTATGGGTGGGAAAATTCACTATTACGTGGTAGTGTTATGTACACTGTATATTCCTTTATTTTATTTTTTTTGCTGTTAAACTGTATTTTCGCTCCTCCCTACGACGTTGTATAATATGTAGCTTGAGGGTCTCACAAAAGTAAGAAATAAATAAATGAATAGATAAATATATAAATAAAAAATACACGAATGAGCTTGTGGGATCCATTTGTGTGAACACATGTGCATCGTTCGAAGTATCCATAGAAATATTACTGATTTATTTATTCATTTATTTAAGAATACTTTGTGTCTTTGTACAGACCGAGAAAGGAACCGGACAGTAAAGATACACAGGAGTGTGAGAGTATTAGAGTTGAGTAAAAAAAAAGTAAAACACAGCGAAAATGGCCATACGGCTATTCTTGCAATAAATTATCAATCAATCAATCAATCAAGCAAGCAAGCAATTCATCAATACTTTATTGAATGTTCCAAGGAAAAACCATAAAGGTTTTGTCCAGGCGTACGCAAAAATAAAACAATAAAAGTAAACATTACAATACAGACAGCATTGAGAAAAAATCAAACAAAAGAGTGAAAACACACAGACAAAAAGTCCGGAGAACATAGGAAGAATAAAAAGAGAAGACAAGTATCATGGAATGAGAGTGAAATACAAAGGGGAATGTACTCTACTATATAGAAACGTTCCTGAAAGACGGAAAAGGAAAGAATCCATACATTATGAAGAACTACTTCAATACATTGTAGAGCTGAGATAAAAACAATGACAGTGGACTGGGAAAAACACCAACATAATGAAAGTTAACATTATAGAGAATTCGTATTCCATGAGCAGTAGAGTGTTGAAAAAAGTTGGCAGGTACATGAAATGGTTGACTTTCTCAGGTTAACTTACACGGAATTTAGAAATTTATACAACTGAAGAAGTAAAGGGGAGGATGTCAAACCATAGACTAGCTTGCAAACAATTGGCAGGTCAGTGCGATTTCAGCGGCAGTGAAATGATGGCGACGATAATATCGTGCCGTGTTAGAACGAGATCCAGAGTCATTTCTAAAAGAACGATGGTTGTAAATGCCTAAGGATTTTTTTCGCAATCGCTCAATGGCGTCACTGCCAGATTAAGCAATGCCGTTCCAACTCACAGATGCATACTCAAGTTGAGGAAGACATATAGCGGTGCGCGATTTGTGGAAGCTTCTGTAGGAGAACTGAATCCTCGAGAGGCACTGAAAACACAGCCAACAGAAAGAAGGAGTCGCTTGGCAGCACGGTTAGTGTGAGCAGAAAAATTTAGCATGTTATCAAAAGGAAAACCAATATCACTGAACTCATAAACCTTATACATAACGACATGATATTGACAGGGTATGAAAATGACACAATGAATTTTTCGCAAGATATACAATAAATTTGGTCTTTGAGGTGTTCAGACAAAGATTATTGTTGTCACACCATTCGAACACAGAACACAAATCTGACTGCACCAAGCAACAGTCGCTCACTGAATGAGTTTCCTTAATTATTTTGATGTCATCGGCATGCAAGAGAAAATAATAATAACGAATTGAAAACAGAAACATCGTTAACGTTCATTAAAAATAAGAGTCAAGCGGAACGTGGTTGAAATACAGCTTCGAAGGAGAGGCAAAAAGGTTGACTATCGCAATCAAGCAGTAGTCGTCCCTGCGATTTCCCATGAACGTTAAGCCTGTGCGGAACGCGCAGCATGGTCACAGCTAAAGCTTGAAGATTGGCCTTTAGAGCATTTTCTTAATTGAGTAACTGCTACAAGCACACTTATTGGGCACCCACCAGGGTCGACGCCAGGGGGTGGCACACAGGGCACATTCAACCCCCCTGCCCCCCCCCCCCCAAATTAATTTGACATTGCACAGAGAGCAAAAAGTGGACATTTTAAGGGTGTGCCCCTCCCGAAATCAAGGTGGTGCTCCCCCCCCCCCCTTTCCGAAAAAAAT